TCACAGCAAGGAACTGAGTTTCCTAGGGGTGCGCAACAAGTCCAAGGCGGAGGCTCACACAGCAGAGACGCTGTCTCATGGGGTGGCACTGGAAGCCAGGGATCTTGCTGTCCACAGGCCCTCGTTCTCTGCAGCCCGTAGGGAAATCGATCCTCCGGTCCCAGCTCCTGGTGGTTTGCTGGCTGTCGCTGGCATTTCTCAGCTCGCATGGCATCATTGTCTTCCCCGGCACTGTCCCCGGGGGTCTTCACTGTGTCTCCCTCTCTGTCTTTGTGCAAAAGGTCTGTTCTTTCTTCTTTTTTAGAGAGAGATTTTTGCTATAGGGCATGTGCGCTTGCCAGAAACACAGAGAGAGACAGAAAGTGAGAAATCAAACCCCCCAGGGAGGATGGCCACACTGCAATCCCTTCTCCTCCCTTCTCCTCTTGGGCTTTTGGGTATGCATGCACACGTTCCCAGAGTGAGTTTTAAGCTGCTGGGTCTGGGACTCAAACTGTGGTCGACTACATGGGAGTCCAGCGACGTAACCATTATGCCATCTGCTTGCTGGTGCCATTTCTGTGTTTTTTGTTTTTTGTTTGTTTGTTTGTTTTACGTTTTATTTTATTTTGCACACAAGGCCCCATCTCACTATTTCTCGGTCCTCCCTGATAGGACCCATCCCACCCCTGCCCTCCCATTACAGAGGAGATAGCCAACATGCACACAGGGCACACATGCTTATCAGAGAGAGAGAGATAGAGACGGAGAGAGGAAGTCACCCTCCCATGGGGGTTGGCCACCTCAACCATGCAAAGGATGTTGCATATGCACATACTTTTTGCCTGACCTATTTCTCAAGCTGCAGAGTCTGGGATTTGAACCACAAGATTGGCCATGTGGGATCCAGCTGTCTTAAGCACCAGGTCATGGAACCACCCCCAAATTCCCTGTTTTATAAAGACACCAGTCATACTGGATTAGGGTCTACCCTAACGACCTCACTTTAACTCCGTTACCTCCAGAAAGACCCTATTTCCAAGTAGGGTCATGCTCTGGACACTGGGTTAGACTCCCACGTCATCTTTAATGCGCTCCTATCAGCTCAACTCAGAACACTGTCTCTGCCCACCCAGGTCCCACCGGGAGGGCAAGCCAGGAATATTGCCCTCGCTCCCTTGCAGGGTGGGGGTTCCATGCACAGAGGGGCCACTTAAGGAGATCAAGGGGCACAATGCCACACTCTGGTGTCCACTCACAGGTCAGGGTGTCACCACGGGGAAGGGGCTGGCTTCCCTGTTCTCAGCACTGGTGCCCCGGTGCAGAGGTTCTGCCCAGGGGAGAGAGGCTTTAAGAATGGAGAAATGTCAAGCTTTTCCTTAGGGTACTGACTGCATCTGGGAAGAAGCATGGAGACGTTGTGCCAATAATGGGAATCTGGGCAGTCAGCCTTAAGAGGGGACTGGGAGCTCCAAGATACTGTTGCAACAAGTGAAACGTGGGCAGGGATGTAACAGAGAACCTGATGCAGAGGCAGCCAGCAGCAGTGCTTTCAGGACTACAGTCACTGCTGAGCACTCCAGAAGACGGCAGGTGTGTGCTGGGCTGCGCCCGCCCAGGAGAAATCAGTGGCAGATTCGAAATCATTCCCCGAGGCACCTACGGATCCATCAGCAAAGTGCTCTTACTGGTACCAGGGGCTTACGCATAACCTCTGACCAAACAAGAGCTGAACAATAAGCTACTCTGACCCACAGGACGTTCTTAGGAAGCCAGACTTAAAAATAAAATGCGCTCATTTCCTGGAAGATCGCATGTTCAAGGCTGCTCGTGTTCAGAAGTGACTGGAGAAAGAAACTCTGAGCTAAGAGGTTAAGGGGGTTTAAACACAACTTTTCACCAGTAAGTAGTTTATACAGACCCACGGGCA